TGCCTTTTTTCTTCTTCCTCATTGTATTTAGCAGCAATCCAAAGACATAATACCTTCTTCAGCATAACCTGACCAAAATAGGAATTTAAATTTCAGGGTTGACTATGGGGTGGGGAGATAGGAGAGAGGGCAAGGGTGGAAGGGTGGGAGAAGGAGGGAAGAGCTCCATGGGTGCAGAGACCCTGTGTGACTTGTATACTGCTTTATCCCTAGCATGTAGCATCATTTCTGGCACAGAATAGGTGTAAATAGTCAGTGAGTGGAATTAATAATTATTGGGGACCTGCCAGGCACCAAGGTTTTCACATTTCCTACTGTAGTTAATCCTCTCAACAGTCCTATGAAGTATTATTGTCTCCAATTTACAGATATAGATATGGCTGCCTCAAAATAACCTACAGATGGCCTAGTAAAAGAAGAAAATGAATAGGAAAAGTTAGGTCCATAATCATCTAGTTTTAACTCATTTCAAATTAAACGAAAAGACAGATGACCGTAAGTTAGCATATGAGGAGGGGCATATGAGTTTTGCAGATACTCTGTTTAGTGACTGTCATAGGTAGCACTGTGAAGCTTTTATAACTAAGCGTGATACTAACTCTTGGTATGCTTTGCATTTTTGGATTCACAAAGCAACGTGGGGAAAAGTGAGAAGTCAATGAAAGGTGAACCGGATAGATTGGTATTTTAAAAAATAAAAACAAAAAACAGCAGCAGCACCTACCACTACTAGCCATCATGAGCAAGGTGTCAAGTCTCTGAGTACATTTCAACTAAACTGAGGAAAAATGGATTACCTTTTGTGTCTATTTTAAATGTTTCAGCTGATCTTGAGAGGATCGAAGAAGGGATTTGCTTGTTTCAATGTGCCTCAAACTCATATGCAAATAGAACTCTGATACTGCACTACACATTTATAGTCAAAGACAACACTTTGTTTTTAAGAAGAGCAGCACACAACGTAACCGCAAATGAGTGTCACAGAAAAATGAGCCAGACAATGTTAAGCTCCAATGAAGAATTTTGGTAATTACAAGCTGCATTGTAAAAATCACTGTCAAATATGTTTGTCTTCATTGTTTGTGATTCCTCTGAAGATTGAAAACACTCTTCCCTGCTGCCCACCCCTTCCCCCTGCCATTTTATCCTTTTCCACTGCTTCCTATCACTCATGCCAAATTACTCGCGCGCACGCGTGTGTGTGTGTGTCCCTGCCCGCGCGTGTGCAGGAATGACAGAACTTGGACAATTTCCCCCAAAAAATTTAAGCAAAAAATGAACTCTGGAACAGAGACAGGTGTTGTTTTTTAATGGGTGGACCATAAGGAGACCCAGGAATAGGTTCTATATAAATAACAGATAAATAGGGTACCATTTGTTTGTTTTGTCAACAGAAAATTACTGAGTACCCACCATGGTGAGGCACTGTGCTAAGTAGTGGACATCTGGGAAAGCAAATGACATGAGAGTTGCTTCATAGGTATAACAGGAAATTACAATTCATCAATGGTAAATTTTTGTTTTGAAACCTAAAACCCATAGCTAAATGGATCCAAGGATTTAACGAATATTTACTCAGTTCTGTTGATGATTTTCCCCATGAAATATTCTTTTGCTAAGATTCATAACACTATGTTCTCTTCTGAAATTATTTTCTTTATGTCTTACACTCCTTTGCAGGATTTTTACGCTTAGCCTGTTATTTAAATGTTGGTGTGCCCTGAGGTTCTGACCTAGGCTTTAGTTTCTTCTCATCTACACACTTCTCCTGGGAGTTGTCATTTGCTCCTATGACTTTTAGTATCATCCATATAATACGGACACTAGATCTGATGACATCAAATTCTGCAGGTCAAGTTTAAACATCTGACCTCCAGATTCATATGAACCCTCCCTTGACATTTCAGACAACCCTCCGGATATCTGAAAACATCAAAAATTGAACTGACCAACTTCCCTTTACCTCATTGACTAGCACAACCATCCTTGAAGTTGCCCAATCAAGAAACCCAAGAATCATTAGCTCCTTCCTTTTTACACCTTAACATCCAATATCAAAGTTACATGGGCTTTATATGCTAAAATATATTAAGAAACCACCCATTTTTCAGGTTCTCTGCTACTACCCAATCCAGGTCACCATCATCTCTTGCCAAGAGTCTCACAAATATCTGCTTAACTGGTCTCCTTGGTTTCAGTCTTGCCTGTTCCTAACTATTTTTGAATTTACAGCCAGTTACCTATTCCAAATGCAAACTTGATAATATCATTTTCTTCTTTCAAACCCTTAAGTGGTTTCACCCATATGAAAGGTAAAGTCCAAACTCCCTGAGGAGGTCCTTTAAATCTCTGCTTCCCTTACAAACTCCTGTTTTGCCTCTCCTCTTTGAGATGCTACATTCTCCCATACCAAACTTCTTTCAGTTCCTTAAACATGAAACTGTGCTTTCTTTTATCCTAGGCCTTCCCATATCCTTTTCACTGCCTGAAACTTTTTTTATCTTCACCCATTTTTAAAACTTGCCTAGCTAACTCCTAGTCATCATTTAAACACTGGCTTCCTTTGGGAAGCCTACCTGGATTGCCACCCCATTCCAGCTCAACATGCCTACCTTCGATTGCACTTATTTCCCGTTCACTCCACCAAACCTACCCTACCTACAACAAACAAGGATAGATTTCCCTAATAAATGTTCCCACTGCAACTTATACATTCCCTTTAATATGACTATTCAGTATTTTATTATAAACACTCATTTGATAGTCTTCTCCACTAATTCTGATATAGAGGGCAAGAAGCTATCCAGTATATATGCAGCTTGCCTTTGTATCCCTAGCACCTCGTACGGTGCTATGCACAGAATTGATGCTCAATACATTTGTTCAATGAGAAAATGGAGTACCTTTTATTTACAGAAACTGGAAAGGGTTTAAAGCTAAATAAAATACCACCCCCACCCTTAAGGAGAATAACATTAAATGCAGAATGTCTGTTATACATAATTATAAGATGATAATGAGTAAATAAAATTGACTCCAATTTGGGTACAAGAGGATCTGCTAACATTGTAAATTGGAATTAAATATTTAGCTCTCCCCTCTGGGATAATCTAATCCACACTAAACACTTCTGCAAGACAGTTTTATGATTTTATATTACAGATGAGAAAATAGGCACAGCAAAGTTAATTGAGTTACCCAAGGTTACCCAGTAAATCAGAAGCAGAGCTATCGTGCGATTATAGGACTTCAACCTATGTACTTTAATAGTCTTCTCTAAACTATCACCTCTAATATATGTGAATATAGAAACTTAGGAATATAGGCGCTTTTCCATGGATTTTCCTCTAGTGTTTAACATCAAAGGCTTTCTGTGATATGCCTCTGCACTCTTGTGCACTCTCAGAGGTGTCAGTTCCCTCTTTGTTCTTAATAGAGTGTTAGCATCAGGCACTAATCACCACTACAAAGTGCCAACATTAAACTCTTCTGCTGTAGGACATCATATGGCACACTCTACATCTATAAATGTCCACGGCTAGTTGGCTAGTGTATTCTATTGCACTGAATGGACATTTTTGTAGAAAATGTTGCCAGTACTTACTAAATATCTGAGAAACAACATAGGCTATTAGATTTAATGGGATTACTGGTTTCAACATTTGTATTGTGAGAGAAACTCAAAACTATTTGTGCTGCCATTTCGAAAGATATATGCTCAACAAATATGTTTACATGTGGTATTCTAGGGGCAATGGCAAACACAACACGTTACTGAAATGCCTCAAACATACTTTACTGCCTTCTCAGTATACACATTTAGTGTATATAGAACTTTGCTTTCTATAACAACAAGCATTGCTGATATTAATTTCACAGAATTAGGCAGGGTGAGTATATGCTTGAAGTTCTTCCTAGTCCCTGACTGGACCAACCAATATTCTTTCTTTTTATACCTGAATATAGTGCAAGATGTTAATAGAATCTAATCTGTATAAAACTGTAGCTAATATGCGCCACTTTTATTAGAGGTATAGAACTACGCTTCATCAGCATTTCCAGATTAATTATACAATTTTCTCTTAATGGATATACCATCAAATAGAAGATTCCCCAATCACAGATCATTTTCCTTGCTCTTTGGCCCTTACTTGACCTATCCTTCATTTGCCAAAAGCAAACATCTTTACCCCTAAACCCTAAAGCACTCAAGTCAGCTCATTATATCACTCTCCAGTCCTGCCTTTTAGCTCCAGGCCCACGAAGAACTCTAAATGTCCAAAGTATTTACTGTTCTTAATCCCCAACATGACATTAAGTGAATTGGTTCTGTCATGTGAGGATAACTGATTATGTTTCCCCTAATAAAGACAGACACTTGAGTTACCCACTTGTAAGTTAGCCCAATGTAAAAGGAAGAAAGAACTTCTGTCAGATGCCAAACTTCACATCAATTGCTCATACTGTGGAAATGTCAATTAAAATTCTAGTGAAATCCGTCAAACACAATTTTCCAGTCCAAGAAATGTATATAAACCCATGGTAAATTGAGAGGTTGTACAAGGTAAATCTTAATCTCCATAGATGTGTGTGTTGGTTGGTCAGTGGTAGATGACATCCATGGAGTCGGAATACTTTTGACTTTCTCATGAAAATGCAGATTCCATGAATTCATCCTCATTCATCAGCCCTGTTTTGGGGGAAATGACTTTGAGAGGATATTGCCTTCATTTCCTAAGGTGGCAATTCCTATTAAGTGATACCAAGGAATAAAGGTTTCTTTGAAAAGTAGCATAGAGGCTGAGTTGGCTTCCTGCTTCTAAGTGTTCTCAAAGACTTCTAAAGGAAACAAATTCCAACTTTAGCTTTAAAGTCCTAACACTGTACTTGTCACACCATTTGCTGTACCAATGTGAATGTGACAATAATAAAGGATAACAGAGCAAAAAACAAATGCTTTTATCCCAAGGATACTTGCCCTATCTGAGAATTTACTTTACCTGCAGAGATCCCATTTCTTCATCTTTTCTTTGGGTCTCTTCCAGCAGATCTACAACAAGAAAGTAAAATACCCATCAAAATACAATGTAAAAATGGGTTGCCTCTTATCATCAAATGTAATTCAGTCAGTAGCTTGAATAAACTATTGTCCGGGAAGAGAATTTAATGTTTAAGTGTGAGAAGCAATGTAAAAAGAATGCTCTCTGATCCCAACTGGTGACATGTGGCAGAGCTTTGGACCCTGACAAACCTAAGCTAGCTGAGAAGCCCTGGGAGGTCCCAGCTTTATTTGAGATACCAGAGGATGATACCATATCAATTACAGATCCATAATCCTACCAATAGTTTAGAAATTTTATCCAACATTTAAATAACTCAAAAGTGACACAAATTTTCTTTTAAAAAAGAGAAAGCCTCTTTCTTTTGAAAGAAAAATTAGAAACAAATCATTTGCTCTTAAAATAAGTTCCCAAGCCAAGTTCCACCCCCCAAAGTCAAGTTTTATAATCAAATTAAAACACCCTGGTATAACGAGTGTTATTAATGGAAGTAAGAACACCACCTCAACTATAAAGTCATATTAATTATCATTTCACGCCGAGAGGGTGGGATGTATTGAAGCCACTTCTAACCAAAAGTTTGGCACCATCTCAGAGAAATTAGTGGCTAGAAGGTAGTCAACTGAAGATTCTGTCTTAATGCATGCATGTAGCCATGGTGTCCCAGTGCCCTACATTAATTTTTGAACTTGCTATAAAGGAAAATATATTTTTTGCCTGCAGCTACACCACCCTGTGTTATGATCTTATTTAGACCTCACAACCTAAAGAGAACTAGGCTGAGTCAGAACTCGGATGAAAATTGGCAAGAAACACCCACAGCAGCATACATTAATATTAGCATTTGCCTTACTCTGTGATTGATATAGTTTAGCAAGAGGCTATGCTGCATAAAAGAAAAATAGAACTTTCAGAAATTCAATATATATCCCAGAAATGCAAACCCAAATGTTTTTAACAAGTGCTATACTAGATACAGCAGAAAGTGGTAATACAGTGGGGTAGCAGAGTCATGCCAGTGTGTCATAACTGGACAGGAAATACACCGAAACTTCAAGAGACCTGGCAGATGATAGAACTGATGGTGATGGCCCTTTGAGACTGCACAGCAAAGAGGGCCACAAAGAAGTGGCGAGCAATCTCCTCAAGACACATGTGCTGGGATTACAGATAAGAAGTAGTTTCTATTCTGTATGCTGTAGAGGAACTAACTCTGGCTCCTCAAACTCCTATAAATAGTCATATCAATAAAGTTAGAGAAGCATGACAATGTTTTAGGGTATATTTTAAAAAGGGTTTTTGCTATAAGGTTCTTCAGCTATAAAGTACAGAAACCAACTTGAGTTGTGGTATATTAAGTGCCCTCAATCATTCCTCTTCCTATATCCTTACTTATTTGTATTGTGATATTGTAGCTACTTCTTCTACCAAGAGACCATGCACATCTACTTCTCCACTTCTTGAATCTGGGTTGGTCTCCTACCTTGATTTGGTGAACAGAATATAGCTGAAGCAACTCTGTGTCAATCTGCACTGAGGCTTCAAGAGGCCTCACACATTTTCACTTTTCCACTTGGAACCCTGTCACTGCCATTTGAATAAGCCCAAGCCAACCTGCTAGATGACAAGAGACACATGGTCCAGGACTCTTTCTACCCCCGCCTCCCTGCAGATTGCCCCAGTTGGCAGCCAGCAAAAGCCCAGAAGCAGAGCTGTCCAGCCGACCTGAAGATGACTACAGATGACTCAGACGGGAGCCCAACTGAGATGACACAAACTATCCAGCTGAGCATAGTGCCAACTCCAACTCACAGAATCATGAGCAAAATAAATGGAATTTGGGAATGATTAATACCCAGCATTTGCCAACTGACCACAATGAGTTGCCAACTGAACAAGCACTTAGAATTTATTAGAGGGATAAAGAAGTAACTAATAGATAAATTAGGGAAAAGAGGATCCAGAATATGAAGAGAATAACAACAAGAGAAGGTCTAGGTAGGTTGGAATGTGGGTAGCATGAGCTAATAGGCATTTTGTTCTAGGTGCTTCCGATCTTTGTATCGTTCCACTCAAGATATAACTTCATAAAGAGAACAGGTAATGAGCTTAGCTTAGACCTCTTGTCTATCGCTTGGCTAGGGCAAAGTATGGAGACTTTCATTGATAATCTCAAACAGATTGAACTAAGAACAGAAATGATAGTTTCCAAATGCAAAATTAGGATACTGTTACAGAAGGAGGAAGAATGACATCAGATAGGCCAACTACCCTACCCCAACTAGTTTGAGCAAACTGTGTCTTCAGCCCAAATCTCTTTAATATTCGTGAAATATAAGATCACTGCTGTGTCCCTGTGAGGACATGGTCATTTAGTTCCATTACTTCTGGAGATTAGAAGTTCTCAGAGCAGGGCCCTTTGTAATGAATTATATTGTTTAATGGTGCAGTGGAACTTGACTGATGCTTAGTGAGGTCCATCAACCACAAAAGAAAACTAATCTTGTTCTTCTAGAGTCGGCTTGGTTTGTCAAGCATCAAACACCTTAGATAAAACCCACTGGATAAATAATGGGTATTGGATCTCTTCTGTAGCCAAACACAACTCACTCATCTGATAAAATACAGATGTAAAGAAGTTCAGTCTACTCACTGAACTTCATAGAATTATAGCCATGTAAAAATCATGCTCTCAGTTTTCTCCAAATACACAGCAGTCACACGGCTCTTCCAACAAACCTGATGCCAATGACAATGATTGATTAGGGACAGCTGAATGAAAATAACTATAGAAGAATTCCCAGAATTGGCATTTAAAATACATAAATTTTAAATAAATGTTCTCCTTGACTGAAACACTGCCTAGCTTATATAAAGGGTACAAGTGGACACCTGTTTTTGTTTTTTTTCCTTTGTGCCATACCCCTTCCCTTTGAGAACTACTATTCCCCTTTTCCATGTGATTCCTGTGAACCTTTCAGTCAAGGGGCCTAACTAATCTGCCCTGCCCCCAGAATAGGTCATGACCCGGGCTGGCAAGTCAGAGCATCTTACCTCCCTGAGCAAAGGAGCTAAGCAACACCAGTAGCAATCCTGCTCAGGAATTAAATGGATACCAGGGGAGATACTCTCTCCTTCTAAAGCCACAAGCTTACATTGCCTGGTGTTCCCAAGTCTGCATTTTCTACCATGTTGAAGGAACTTGTTCAACAGAGAGGCTGGGAAAGAAGAAATGAGAGCCAGGAGAAAGAGACAGCATTGGTTGAGGAGTATGTCCACCCTTGCTGGAAGCCCACAAATCGCCTGGACTTCCAATAAATTCTGCCTTTTCTTCTTTTTATTTTTATATTTTGCATTTGCTTAAACAAGCTTTAGTGGGATTGCTGCCATTTTTAAAAGTCTCTAAGGATGTGGTTGTATTGCACCTTCTTATCTCTATTCAGAAACCTGGAGAACTTAAGAGTTGGAAAGAACTTTCTATTCCATATTAAAATTCTACAATAAATAGATGCAGACATGAGGCTCAAAGAAGGAAAATGGTTTGCCTGAGATTACCTAGTTAGGTAGTACTAAAGCCACACCTAGAACTTTGCTCTCCTCTCTTCCTGCTCTACGTATCACTTGTACGACTCACTGCCTAATTGTACCCTTCTTCATATTGTGATTTAAAAAATACACATCTGTTTGTATTCTCTTGACTTGCTTTAGAAGTACCCTGATGTCAACACCCAGGGCTTCCATGTCTTTCTATCCATCTCTCCCTAACTACTGCCTCCCTACCATTGACACTTACCTTAGATCCCTCTAATTCCCTGCTCCGCCTACATTACTGCTCTATGCAATTGCTCACTTGTTAGGTGTATTGTTCACATACACGCGTTTGCAATGATGAACAGGGTCGTTAACCTGTGCTGAAGAAATGTGGCTACTGAGCATCTCTGAGAAACACGACTCTACTGCAAACAGATACAAGACGAGAATAGGGGTGAGATTTCTAGATAGTTGAAGTGATTTAATGCTGTGACAACTTAGTGCCCCTCATTATAATGAACAACCTTGTTTGTTCTTATAAACTTTAAAACAAACGATCAGCATGGAAAAAGCTGAAGGGCTGCTCTGCTCCCTTGCTCACCACTGGCATGTTCATGTTTCCCTCTATTCTTCTCTGGTTTGCTGTTCAATACAAACAGCAATTCAACTGCCATGCAAATTGCTGTGGTGAAATGTGCTTCCATCAACATCAGTTAAAGAAAGAGTTTTGGTGAAAAGGGCACCAGCCCTGTGTGTTTTTCTTGGATTGGCTCCAATTTTTTTAAATGAGCTGATACTAACCCATTATGGCATATAGTCATTAGAGGGGGGAAAATTCCATATAAAAAAGTAGAACATCATGGACAAGAATCGGACAATCCAGTTGTTTTGCTCTGTATTGTTTCTACTTTGCATTTCTCTGGCACACTTAGGGTAATATATCATGGCCATGTTTTTGACTAAGACACCTTTGTACCAGTTCTTCTGCAGTCTTTGCAACCAGCCATCTGGCTGTTTAAGGACGTTTGACACTTTTTTATGTTGATTCTGGTTTCTGGTAGCCAAAGTTGCAGATAGATTGTTCATTTGTTTTTAAAAGGCCAGGTGTGCATGAGCAACACACTCATCTAGTAACTTGACCCTTCATAGGAAAGTTGAGGATCAAGTTTAGAAAGTATTACTTTTTCCTTTAACTTTTACCATAAGATATCTCATCCCTATTATAACACAGCCCAACTGATAATGGAAAGTTATAGAAACAGGCTTCCAATACGTAACATTTATAGCACCAACAGTGGACAGAGTAGCATTGGCAGCAGAATATGTTGAATTAATGATTGCAGTTTAGAGAAAAGCATTTAGCTTTGGCTCTTGTATGTCAGTAATTCAGTGCGCCTGTTCAGTGTTACTCTATGTGTCCTGACATTTACCAAAAATAATGGATAATGTAAATTTTCAA